TCGGTTATTCGATGTGACATAAACGTCATATTTTCTTGAAAAAGACTGCGTGAATAAAGAACCTGTCAGGAGAAAAGGGAAATTGTTAATATTGACCCAAATATTGCATTCGTGAAAGCAATAAACGGTTCGTTGCCCTTTTTTATACTGCCCAATATATATATAACCGTGAGCAAATCATCCCTCTCGTTGCATAAGGCAACAAGAACGCCCTCGGATCAGCCGAGGGATGAGAATAATAATATAAAAAAAAACAAGATGAAAATAAGTCAACTCGCGTGACATTTATCCGGGGATAACAAACACCGGGTGAATGTCCATTCACTGATCGATGGAATGGAAACAAGTGGATTATTGCGTAAGCTTTCTCACGGGACCCATAAACGACTGCTGTTTCTGCAAAAAAAAAAATGAGTACACAGGTGGGTCCACGATCCTACCTGACCCGACAAAGAGCGATTGTGTGCCAGATATTGGGGGCGTGCTACGCTTCGTTCAGTCATTATGAATGAACATTGAGAGCATGCAAGAAAGACTCATTCGAGTTTATTAACTAACTGGACATTGAGCCGAGAAATAACGTTGAAAGAAAAAATAATAATGCTAAGGCGAAAAGAGCATTCAACGAGACATCAGTAGCAAAAGAAGAAGAATGGTGCGAGATGTGATGGGAAAAAACTGAACGAATATAAGGGACGTAGAACGTATTAGACGATAAAAACTTTCGACGCCAAAACGATTCTGCTGGCCTCATATTCCTATTTTTTTCCTCTTTCTCTCATTCATTTCTTCAACCCTTGGATATTATGAAAGTCGCGAAAATGTATACTACAAAGAATCTCAATAACTTTCCATAAGTTTTATTTGCGCCCGAAAGTTTCTTTGTTTCCTCAATGTAAATTTCATTTCATTGATGAAAGTAATAAAAATCAAATTACAATTTAGGAAGAAGTTACAAACATTTGCAATAAAAAAAATATAATAAAATTTAAAAATGCATCGTTTTTTTTACTATTTACTATTAATTATGTATGTAATTATTTGCTTAACAAATATGATAAAAGCCACTAATTTTTATTAACAGCAATACCTCGCAGAGTACGGCTTCAATCAGTGCGGATTTACTAACTGAACTTTAGTGAATCCGCACTATACAGTCGATTCTCTTCATGTGCTGTTACTTTTATGCCCCATTACCCCCGCACTATACGAGCTGTACATATAAGTATGACTATTATAATATATACAAAATTCGACTTAAGACTATTTCGACTTGTGTCGAAAGTGGCAAAACAGCATTGTAAGTCGAGAACGTAATGCATATGCCAATTTTTGATAGATTAGTACACACATGGACAACTGTCGGCCTGCGGGCCAAGTACAGCCCACTACTTTTTTTGATCCAGTCCATCTCACAAAACTAATTTATTTGGAACATTAAAATCTGTTGAATCACGTTTTGTCTCAAATGATTTTTCTTTAGCGCAAATTATATTATAAATAAATGAAGTTAGAAGTAACAACTTGTTATTTAAAAATTTAGTTCGATTCATAACCCGGATTCTTAACTCTTACTCAAATATGAATATAATACTTCCATTTTAGATTACCTAATACATCTTAAAAGCTCTTTTGTCTCAAATGGTCAAAAAAAAAATGATATCTCACTACAAAATGTAGAAATAAAAAACATTACTTCTCGTTTAAGCATCGCAGGAATTGAAGATATAAACCATCAAGATGTGTAAGAAATACTTCGTGAAGAGACTTTACTTGAAGAGAAATTGATGACATTAATTGAAGATCTACCTAAAATGCATTCGTAGATGAAAATATGGATAAATAATAAGATAATAATTTAAATTTAAATGTTGTAAAAAGGCGATTAGATTTGAGTAAAAAATTTGAATTTTATTTCATTGAAAATTATCCTTTAACTAAATTAGTAATTTTCTTAACTCCCTAGATAGAGATTTTGGTAGAATTACAAAATAAAACAACATTCGATAAATAAAGACATTCTGAAAATTAAAAGTGTGGCTTTGATTAGTCCGGATTCAGGTTTGAAAATTTCAAAATTAATTTTGAATTGTGCAAAATAAAAATGAATTGTGAACGAAGTTTTTTACACTGTTTATTGATTATGTGGTTATATACGACTCGATTAGTGCGGGATATTTTTAAATATCTTCATTTTTTTCTCAAAAGCTTTAAATTTGCTTATTAATTATATAAAAAAAGGTGTTTTATTTTACATGTTTAGTTAATATTAATATTTGAGTATAAAATATGTCTATTATGTACTAGAGGAAAATACATTTTAGAATTACTAAATAGAACTTCATTAATGTATACTTATATAAACAACTTAACTATTACATATTTAATTGTGTAATAATTGCAGCTTAAATACAAACAATTTAAATGATCTGCGATATTCATTGCGACCTTTCATTATAAACCACTTTTTTAGATACATTTTTCGTATTTTCTCCTTCTAGAATACATTTCCGGCGTCACCATCGTGTTAAAGTTGAGTAATTTAGTTATTAATTCGATTACGATTTAAAGGGAAACATTTGTTTTCTTTTTACAAAAGTAAGGATTTCTTAGTAGTGGAGAAGTTAGTTGAGATGACGACACTTTGAGATTTTTAACTGATATTAATACATGTGACATGAAAATAAAATATGCTTCAACCTGCATAATTGATTCTGCTTTTTGTATTTCGTAACGAAAATGCATTTTATATAACATACAAAATAGTCTAAAGTATTACAAATCAAACGTAACGCAATTTGTATGTTACTTTTAATATCGTTATATATTCGCAAAGAATGAATAAATGCTGCAGAAAATAATATCGTTGAAGAATCATCATCGGTTGGAGGGTTTTTATCGCATGCTATGCGAAACACGTCCATTTACGACCAGGTCCTCGCAATAAAGTTGTTTTGGAGTAATACAAGTTACTTTGTTGCTTTCTCTATCTGTGGTGAATACCTGAATGGACCGAAGAAGATACCCATGAGACTGGCCATGAATGGAATCCGGATGACAATGGTGATTGACTTATTGCTAAATAATATGGGAAATTCCGAAAGCACACCAAACACTGGTTTTGTGTACGTGGTTCATGTATGTCCCTGTCCCTGTGTTTATCCTTCGCGTATGTGTGAGGTCCGGATCACACAGGATCTGCACAGGATTCCTCAATGAACAGACAAACTCTGTCTGCATCCACTTGTGGAGTTCCCACATTCAACTTTAAACTCAACGATTGCATTTCTATAAAACTGGAGCATAAATTGACATAATCGCTTAATGCCAATTCCTATTGTATATGTTTCGTCAACGTCACGTCAATTTTGTTATCAATTCAGGGAATACAAATACAAAAAAAAAATATTACACAGAAAAATAATAAATAAATTATTTACCAAAAAATAAATAAAATTATTTCATAATTAGAGACTCTATAATTTCACACATTGTACAAATTAATCCAAGTTGGTTCAAGTTAAAATTTTAATGGGTATTGAAATAACAGATGTTAACTGATGAAAACTCTTAGCTATAAATTGTAAAAAAAAAAATTTGATTGTTTATCATTAATTTATTTTATTTTAAATATATAGGTTTTAATTAATACTATTAGAATTTACAAATTGTATTGGCCCTAATTGGTGCGAAAAAGATGTCGATCGAATTAGTGCTGGCCTATTTCACACATTTTGACTATTTTCAGGTAATTTATTCTATATAGAAATCAAATATATTTATGAAGTTTATAAACTGGAATTTGAACATCTAGTTTAAATTTTTATATAATATAAAAAAACTATAATAAAAAAAAATGTAAAATGATACAAACATAAAAATGTTAGTTTTATATTTTTTTTTTTGAAATTCATCACAATCAAAAGTAAAACATATTAACTCTGACCTTACCTCTGTGTTAATCCGTTCGTAACGTGACTTCGACGTTAATTGAGGTATATTGTGATTTGGTATTTATTATGCTGTGTTTTTTTTTGTATAAAAATACAATTTGATCTTCAAAGTTGTGATTTTCTACAACTAACAACATTTATTGAAAATTATACTAAATTTGAACAATTTTTCTCCTTTGATTGTATCAAAATTGAGAATTCTATTATCTTGAGATTTCAAATAACCGAAGATTAAAATGGTCTGACGGACGGCTGCGAGCGTAGACAAATTACCTGAAGACGTGAGTATAAAAAAAAATAGTTTACACAGAATGGAAGGAACCACGAAGAAAGTGCTTCATTCATTCGCATCGGCGGTATTGTTGAGTGGAAGTTTGATAAATGCTTCGCAGATTGTGGCATAAAGATTCTATTTAAGGACTGAAATTTCGGTCCGGGTCGCAATTTGTAAGCGGATATTCCGAGGATGCGCCGCAATTGATTAATGATCGGACGCGGTTTTCGGGGTGCGAGAGTGAGAGAAGAGAGGGTGTTCTTCGCCATGGGGTTTGTAGCAATCGTATGTAAACGCAAAGTGTTTGTGGGGTGGTTTTCGCACCAGAATAGGGATGATGACACTGGACGACCCGCGGCGATCGCTAACTGTCCTGTCGATGGTTGAAAAGGAGTCGCGACGGGGGGCGCACCGCATCGCCCATCTCCGACTGAGAGACCAGGAAATATTACAATAAATTGTGCAAATGCGATCCAATTCATAACCGCCATTACCATTATTACATTCAGCAGCGTTTGCACACGGAACATGCAGAGGGGTGGGCATCCAATCTAAATTATCATTATACAATATTCGCCATATTCTCACACAAAACTGTTTCTCTTTCTCTCTCTTCTCTAGTTCTTCGGAGCGCATCGAGGTTGTGGTTGACACCGAGAATCGATTCGTTTTAATTAATCCTTGTTGCCATAGAAATAAACACGTCATAATGTTTTCTACCCTCGGTTTACCTTTTTACAAAGCAACATCAAATTCACCAAGTGCCAGAAGCCATGTCGGCAAAAGCCTCCGACATCGACGTGATCTGCGATGAATCTTACAAGAACCACGTCGAAATACCATCCAAGGTGCTGCAGATGGAAAACCTAAAGATGCTCTATTTGGATGGTAACATGATCACGAATCTACCAGAAGACTTCTTCCATAAACTGCCAAAATTGTATTGGCTCGATTTACGAGGAAACCAACTTCAGAGCATACCATCAGGTGTCGCAAATCACGCCAGTTTGGAGAACGTTCTTCTGCAAAATAACAAGATCGAAATGTTACCGAACGAGCTAGGTTTGGTGCCAAATCTCAAAGTGCTTCAACTCTCCGGAAATCCTTTGATTTATCCACCGCAGAGCGTAGTTGAAATGGGAGTCGACGACGTCTGCATATTCTTGAAGCAAGAGTATTACAAAGAAAACCCTACCCCCAAACAAATCCCAAGCAGAAGCAGCGACAGCGCCGCTCAAAGGGAATCCAAATCCTCCAAGCTGTGCATCAAAACAATGCCGGTGGTTTCGGTGAAAAGCCTCAGCAAAGAAATTTTGGATCTTCGACAAGTAAAGAAAGATAACACTTGCAGCAAAAACCAGAAGATCCATAGGATCACCAAGAGCGCTTCGAAGATGTCCGTGCATTCGCAATACAACAGCGATAGATCTATAGGATTGAAAGTCAATATGAGTTACGAAGAGCGCGTACAAGAAAATGAGCTCAAACAAGTTTGGTTGGAGAAGCTGAAAGATTTGATACGGGACCAGCAGAAGATCATCGAGCAAGAAAAGTAAGTATTCCTATGATTCTCTTAAAACAAAAGAAAAATGTTGCTGAGGTCTGTTGGAGCGTTGAGCAAGTGGAGACAGAGCAAAAGATCCGAACCTGCGAGAAGTGTCAACTGTTTGGACGCCATCGTTACAGCCCCTTTCGACACCGAACCGGAGTATAATAAATTGATGTCACGGTCCGATCACACCGAAGGAATCGAGAAGCTCATATCCTCGAGGCGACGCCGTCTTCAGCGTCGCGACGACGTCGACGTTGATACGTTAATAAACGAAGTTGTATCGAAGCTACGTGGCATGGAAGTTAAGCTTCAGCAGGACACGAGTGCAACGCAAAAATTGATGAACGCCGAAAGGGAGATCAAAATGGTCTGTATTTATATATTCAATTATTAACACTTTCCACCTGCAAATGAATTCAAATATATTCATTGAAACAATTGCCAAAACAAAGCGATTCCGACAAATAAAATATACATCCCTGAGTGGTAACGTTTTCCAGCGAATTAATGCTGCAACATAAACTACTTTATAAATTAATGCAAATTGTATCAAATTATTCAATTCAATTGATCTAAACACCTCGCATAGTGCGGGTTCTGCCATTATTCTACATTTGAAACCGGATTAATCGAAGATTTAAATCGCTTATAAATGGACATCACAAAAAAATACTTGAAGAGATTAGAAAGAAAAAAAGCGGTATAGAAAATTAAAATTTTATTTTGTTTCGAAATTTTTAAACAGTACTGTACTGAATCCGTAAATCGTACTATGCGAGATATCACGAATAATCACAATTTCACTATAATTGTTAATATTTCATGAGATTTTTTTTTAAAGTCGTTGGTGACGATAGTTTAATGCATCATAAAATACCGATTTTTTTTTCTGGAAGTTATATTTATCCTTTTAGCGAATTTGATACGAGTAATGGACAGCAAGGCCATACGTATAATAACATACATTATGGATAATCGTAAAACACCCGAGAGTTCGGCTGTTTTTCACTCGCTTTTGTTGCGGTAATAATATTTGCGCGCCTATAAAATATAATAATAAAGCCCTATATTTATTGTTTTAATGAAATTGCACGTTAACTTTTTTTTTTGTAAAACACCGAAAACACGAATAATTAAACATTAAATTATATATTTAATTGGAATATTAACATTAATGATTTAAAGTAGTTTAATTTTATATAATATATTCTGAAATCAAAATTATAGATAAGATTACAACAATACCTCGAATAGTCCGGTGTTGATTAGGATTCACTATAGTTCGGTTTGAAATTTTTAAAACAAACTAAATTTTAATTGATCGTTTCTTGATTAGTCCGGTTTCAAACAGTGCCGAATATTGGCAGAACCGACTATGTAAAGTATTGCTGAATTTAGTACTTGATTCATATTGTATTTTTTTATTCATTTTGTGGCCATGATTGTTGTGAGTTCTTTCTTTTCAATAAATTACAATCTAATTTAGGAACAATCATTAAGTCGAAAGGACAAATAAATTTTGTTAAATTATTTGTTTCAATAATTTAAGTACAGAAGACTCCTGTACAACGCGCTAAAAATATTGGTTATTTTGTATGAGGAAAATTCTCGTATAACACGAAAATTGATATTCTATTAGTATAAAAAAAACAAATTTTATTAACTATTTATTTAATCATAATTAATTAAAATATTACTATGAATTGGGTTAGTGTTACTTCTCACAACAGTGCTCACCACTAATTCAATCATAAATTTCAAAGGATTACGGATATATCACACAATTGTTCTTGTTTTCAGATCGTGGACTTGCACAAGAGAATTGCAGACATCCAGACGGCAAATGATATTATGTGAAATTTAATATAAAACAGTCTGTAAATATTTATTTCATATATATTATCAATATGTTTACATACGATATAATACAATTATAACATATAAATCCGCCGCACCAAATTCATTATTATTAATTTAGATTTCAGCAAAACTGCAATCCCCATTTTTTATACTTGCAGATATTACTAAGAATATAGTAAATAAAATTACTTAAACACTCTTTCATTATATCACAAACTATTAACGAAAAGAAAAATCTGGGAAATGAAGTCAAATCAAATTTGAAAAGAAAAATCAGTCAATCAAATTTCCTCCCAAACATATTTTTTTTTATCTTAAACAACAAACAGAAACGAAATGAAATAAACATTGCGTTATATAATAAGATTATGTATATGGAACAAAAATCTTGATATATATATATTGTTTGTAATGATTTTTGTCCGAAGGATTAAAACGTGCGTCCCATCACAATTTTTCCTTTGATTGCTTCGTGCGAGTTCTCGATGAAGCCCAGCTTCCCGTAGAATGCGTGCGTGTAGCTGTCTGTGGAATTCATTATAACATGAACGCCGAAGGAGCCTGAACATAAAGTATAACGTGTGTTAATTGAAGACAAATCTGTGAATGAATGGTATAATTACCGTTGGCTCTTAAAGCTGCTAATAAGCAGGTGACCAGTCGCTTGCTAACCGATTGATCCAAAACCGAAGGTAGTAAACTACATATCATGGTGCTCGGATGCGTGGGGCTGCTCACGTAGATCTCATCGGCAAATTCGTGAAAGACTGCGATGCTCTCTTGCGCCAGCTTGGACAAGTCTTTGTTTTCTTCAGATTGTGGATATTTACCGCACATTTCCGGGATCCAAGAAACCTCCTGTTTCGCCCTGAACTTCTTGTAGTCGGGAGCTGCGCAGACAAAGCCCACGATCTCTGTGTCATCCTCCACGACCATGCAGAATTCTGGTAGCAAAGTCAAAAAAGCGCCAACGAATCTGTCGGCGTGCAGATTCTTGAACTTGACGGGAAGTTCGATATCCTCGAGGCCATTCTTGCAGGTCCTTGTGCAAACTGAGTAAACTTGTGCTTCGTCTTGGCAATTGTACGGACGAATTGTGTACACGCGGCTCGTAGGAATATCCGGGGCTTTGTACACAAACAGATCGTTTCCGGAATCAACTGGTATCAACCTCTGAAAATGACAATGAGAAATGATGTTTCCGTATGAGCAGGCGACAACAATTGTTTTACTTGTAAATCAGCGGTCAACCCGCCACGGAACACCCACGGCTCCTGCTCCCCGCTCATGAACGTCTCTTTCCAGCCCTTGGAGAACCCTTGATGAATAAAAGCAACAACATGAAATCAAGTAAATCGATGAATTTCTGAATATCGTTCGCTCGCTGCACCACCGCCATTCGCCTCAGCAATTTTTAATAGTTTACGCAATAAAAATGCCTATGTTATAAATAACATTCCCATTACGCCTACGCGCTTACATTCCAATTACTTATAATATTACTTCCTTGCTGCAACTAGTAAGTAAAAAAAATCGGAAAACAGTTTATAAGTGTGTATGTATATATATAAAGAAAGAATTACGCAAAAGCTACAGCTCTAAATACTATATCCTTGATGCATACATGTGTAGGTTCCTTGGGTGTATGATGGCATAGAAGATGGAAACTGGCCGCCCGCTTAAGGAAGAGAAATAGACAAAAATAGACATTAGATTCATCGCCACACTGCATTCCTAGTCATCCATCCAATCATCCTTTAAGACAACAACAGAACGCGAATGCGTTGCTTTTCGATTACGCAATGTACGAGTGCAACCGACAGCGAAACAATTGGGAAAAATCTACGCCCTGGCGCTTTATTGTGTAAGAGATAATCGCATAAGCCGTGCACCTGTGAAACCTGTAAAAGAGCTGAAAACAAAAATCGATCGCCGCACCTTAAAGAGAAAAAAGAGAACGAGCCGCGTCTTTACGCACTGAGCCAAAATAATCATCGCAAGCGCGCATAAAATAGTGATATATATTTAAAAACAAAGTACTAATTGTAAATCGAAAAACGACGCATCCTCCGTAATCGCACGAGCAAACACATTCTCTCCTCTTACCGAGCCACTTGATATACGAATTCAAAAGCGAAACCACCCCGCGTATGTCCCACACGTAGGAGTAGAGGTCGTAGAGCAGCTCACGATTATTACAAATGGAGAGGTGCTCAAACAGTTTGTTCACGGACTGCGTCATCTCATTCATTTTAGCCGCTCTCTCGAACCACTCCTGGATCTAACAAAAAAAAAGCGGAGCAAAAGATCAATTAAACAATTATTTTTTCATCCCCTTCTTATAGTGTTTCTTTTTTTAGGGGTAAAAAACAATTACTTCTGGTTGACTGGTATCGGTATTTTGATTGGCGCTGATCACAAGTTGTGCGTTCGATTTCAGCCAATTGAATTCCTGAAGCAACTGCAGACCCTGTCCGCCGTGTTCAAAGGGCAGATAAAATAAATCGCTGAGCAGTTGTAAATCTTCCACAGTCAATTGACCTTTCCTATTAAACACCAAATAAAACAAATTAAATACAATTTCCCTTTTGTTTTGTTTGTGTGCTTCACCTCTTGTTATCGTTCATGTTTTCTACTTGCATCTGGTTGATGTCGTTATTTTCCACCACCATACTCGACCCCTGAAAGAATGATTATTTATGCTATTCTTTTGGTTTATTTAATATTTATACTGACTGAAGTTTCGCTCATGGCGACGTCCTCGCTTGACCCGATGATTTTTCCAATGTGCGCTGGTGATATGTTCGGGGTGCTGTTGCAATCCATCGGTTCGGATGGACTGAGGCTGCTCTCGTTGCTAACATCGGTCGTTGGATCAGTATTCATCTCATCTTTGATTGAATCCGCATCAGTTTTAGTCGACAAATCGTCGGCTGGCACTTTAAATGCTCCGTTCTCTTTGTCTTTGAAGATGACGCCGTTGAGGATGGTCAAGTTCGTTGGCAAGGGTGTGTTGTCCGCGGAGACCACCTTCACCGGGATCGGAGCCGGAGTGATTGGATTCGGAATTGATTCGTTACAAATTACCTTGGTTTCCGAGACTAGCGAATTCATGACGGGCCCGGGGAGAGGATTAATCAAGCTCTCATTGGCCGATACCTTACATACAGATTAGTAACATGTTTTTTGGCTACGGGTATACTCACGCTAACGGTACTGCAAACTTCCGCGAGTGCTTGTAGCTGCGTCGTGTTGACTATGGGAGTCGTTGTCGTTCCAACCGAGGTGGTCGTGGTGGTTGTCGTTAGACTCATGCAAGTGTTGATGGATGGTATGATTGGTACAGGTACAATAGCCACAACCGGCTGGGGTTTGGCAATCGGGCCCCAAGCTGCTTTGTGTCTCTCGAACTCTGGCAGCCATTCTCTGATGGCGTTCCTTAAAGCTTGCCTCGGATGATACATGTTCGGTGAGAGCGTCGTCGGAACGTCCTCCCCCAGAAGACCATCCTCTGTTTCAGTCTCCAATTTGATGTCGGCCGACACGGTATCGTTCAAAGTTAGATCCCGTTGTCCGTCGACGTTGCACCTTGACCATTGGGCCAAAGTGTGAATGGCAATGAAATTAGCCCCGTACTCGCAGTTGGGATTCGTCAGTACGCCCCGCAACTTAGGTATAAGATCAGGAGATCGTCCCGAATACGGTCCTAGAAACACCCTCTTCTGGTCGTAATCGTTCGCGTGAAGATTATCCCAAATAACGGGCGGGCGTCGCAACACGTCAGTAATCTCCTGAATCGATTCTTTGGTCAGCAATCGCGAGATCACTTTGGGACCGGTCCACATTATGTCGATCTCCAGGGCTAGCTTCGAACCCAGAGTATTCAAATATTCGCTGTTACTGACGTTCGGAATGGCCCTCGTCGCGCAGTACTGTGTAGGGCAAACCAAGAACTTCGGTTGGTTCAAGTGCTGATAAATCTCATTCGTCACGGATACTTGGGCATGTGCGAACGATTGGAATACTTCTTTATCTGCTTCCGACATTTCCGGCTCGATGTCGTCGAACAATAACGCGAATGCTACGCACCCAAATTGCGAGACTTGCTCTAATTTCCGTTTTAGGGCGAGGATCTCCTTAGAATTGCTGTACGTTATATCTAAGCCCGGAGAAAGGGCGTAATAAAAGGTCACATTCTGATCGCGCGCTGCCGTTATCAAACTGGTCAAATGTTCAGCCTCTTCCACCGTGTAAAGCTCCCTCCAGTAAGCCCTGTGCTTGTAATCATCCTTTGGAGCATAAACATATGATTCCATTCCCCATTTCTTCATCCTAAACAAACGTATTTCTTTCATTTTACAAATGAATCTCCAATAAATTTTCAACATCAAGACATGTACAAAACCATTTCAGATAATTTATAAATAAATTTAATAATAAAGATTTAACATTTAGAAAACAAACATAGTAAATTTACTATATATTTGACTAAACCAGTGATTCCCAAAGTGGTCTATATCGACCCCCAGGGGTCTATGACAACCTGCAAGGGGTCATCGTCAGCGAAAAACAATTTGGGGTCCATAAAATGAAAATGGTGGTCCACAATAGTGGATCTCAACATACACTGATAGTACCTATGAAGTAAAAAAATTATTATATATGTTTATAAAATTGTGTAAGTTGGTGGATGTGGGCATTTGCTTTGTGGTCGCAATACATTTTGAACTTGTAACTTGTTACAAGCATACAAGCAGTCTCAGAGCAAAGATCTTAATAATTATAAAGATGTCCCAATATAAATAATAAATTTACAAAAAATCAATATTAGGTAAGTAGGGTGTCTACCCAAAACCGAAAAACATGGCATAATAGACCCATGACCCCTAAAAGGTTTGGAACCTCTGGACTAAACCAATATTGACTACATTCATATCAGACTCATGTTCCTAATGCATTATAATAATTATACAGATTGCAGGCTAAATGCAAGCCTATATTAATGTTTATTAACATAGGCAACTAATTTATCACTTTTTTTTCAGAGAATGTTTATTTTTACTATCTAATAGCTATTATCTGGAATGTTATTGTTTATATATCTTATCTGTATCTAGGTATACAAATACCCATACATGAATCACTTACTTTTGAAATAAATCTTTTCTCTGTTCGGTAGTCCATGGCCGTCCATAAAATCCTATAACATAAACACCCAACATTAGATCCAAAAACAATTGTAACCAAAAATAATCAACAATAGCAATTTAGTATACAAATTACATGATCATCAATTTTGTGTACCTCTTAAAACTGTCACAAAAAGTTTCTTCGAATACATGCAATACTTTTTTTTATTAATGAATTAATAACATAAATTGAATTGTAAGTCTACATAATATACCAGATTTAACCAAAATGAGTACAGTATATAGGTGAATAGCAGAGTTAAATGACTTATTAATGGTCATTTAAATATGGTAAGAAGTAACAACAACTAAGTAAAATTAAGTGTAAACATATTTTATTCTCAAAGTTCAAGTTTAAGTTCATGTGTAGTTAACTTAACAGTAACAAAACTCTCATAATGTTTTTCAGTTGTTTTGTTATTGTTATGGAGCCTGGATTTTTCCATAGTGGACCAGACTTACATTTGCTACTAGAACAGTGGTTTTTGGCTAGGAGGTAACACCTTAAATTCATTCTAATTGCATTAAACTGTAGACAAAGATAATACTCACCCTCCACTACTCCACATATAAAGTTCCCATTCTTCGTGTTCAAATTTTCAGCAACTGGCAGGTTAAGTGTATCTGCCATTTTTTCCCTTTCAACTGGTTCAAATGTCAAATGTCAAACGCGACCCTAAACCCTAAGATGATACCCATCCAGTGTAGCCAATACTTAAACATTGAAATTGAAGAAAAAAGAGTCGCTAAATATATTGAAATAGAACTATATTAACACATAATATAGAATTAAATATCTTTTTTGTTTACGATATTGTAGTTTTACTTATTTTAAATCATTATTGTGATTAGTTAATACTTTATTCTTGTAAATTGGGTTGCCTGTAACTCAAATTTATATTTTGTAATTTCTTTATTTATTATTTTACAAAATTAGTTACAATTTAATTATATAATAGTCAAATATTGATTATATTCTATTTTCGTATATTTTTTCTATCTTTTCGATAGCATTAAAAATATCTTCAGCTAATAACATGGGGACTTCCAATGCTGGGAAGTGTCCTCCAGATTTGTAATCCATCAAATGTACCAGATTTTCAAAAGCATCTCTTATTAACCATTCAGATTGATAGAATACTTCGTTTTCGAACCTGGCGCAAGCACTTGGTACTTTTACGGAAATGCTGGAATGATATTTGACAAAATTCATATTTTCTAAATATTATTCTATTAGATATAATTTACCTATTCATTCCATATTTTCTTTGTTTAATGCTGTAAGAATCTGCATAAATCCGCATTCCTGATGTTATGGAATTTGTGACCCAATAAATCATAATATTATCCAATAACTTATCAATAGTATATTTACTCTTTAGACCTGCATCAGGCAAATCCCTTATATCTTCCATGTTCATGCCAGCAAATTTTTCCAAAATGAACACGGCTAAACCCGTCGGGGATTCGTTTAAAGCGTACCCCATCATATCGGGTTTTGTAATGTGCATAAAAATGTATCCTGTTTCTAAAAGGACTTTATGTGCAAAACGGTAAATCGGATATGATTTAGACGCTTCATCTTCGGTCATGAATAAGCTCGGAAAAATGTTTCCCAGGACCAATTTAACTTTTGATATAAGTTTCAAAGAATAGCACATATTGCTGTGAATACCCAATACTTGGTCCGGAAACATTATTCCTAGGTAGGGCACCAATACGCCACCTAAATCTCCACCCTGCACGTAATACTTATCGAATCCGATCTTTTTCATCAAGTTATTAAGAACCACAGAGACCTCAACTACTCCAAAGTCTTGTTTGGAAGCGGCACTGGAGAAAGCAGTACCCGGTATGGAAGGAACAATCACTTCGAATGCAAAATCTCTGCCTGGTTGCACTTCTGTTAGCATTGGTATAATATCATAGAATTCAAATACAGAACTGGGCCAACCGTGTATCATCAATAATGGAATAGTCTTCTTCGCATAACTTGCCGGTTTGGCGTGTATAAAATGTATCTTCAATCCTTGGATTTCAGTTACAAATTGCGGAAATTTGTTTAAGTACTCCTCGCGTTTCCTCCAGTCGTAGTCATCCTTCCAATAATCCATTACCTCATCAACTAGATCAGCATTCAACCCGTAATGGTGATTGGAATTCTCCAATGATTTTGTCAAATTTTTCCGATTGTTCAAACGGGTTTTCAAATCATTTAACACCTAAGTAAAAAAAAAATCAAATTGGAATCTAGATAAATTACGTAATTTTCTAATTACTTGCTTAGATATATTTATTTCGAAAGGCATTATAGCTTTGTTGTCTTCGTGAGGGTCTCCGGGTCCCCAGTACTTCTCCTCCACGGCCGAAATGTCAGCTGATTTGAAGACATTCCAAACTGCTACACCTACAAATACCCCAATCAAAGTGATTGCTATAGCACTCTTCATATTCATGTCTTGAACTGTTATCAAAATCAGCATATTGATATATTTATACTCAATGGTAAATTTGAATAAAGTTCACAAGGATTAACAATATTTCCATAATATTTCGTATATCATCGTATATATCAAGTTTTGAATAGAATACATTTTAATATTTATTAGTTTTTTTTTATTCTCCATAAAAAAAATACAAAACGTTATTATACTTTAAATAACTTTTCTTTTAAACAACAAATGTGTAGTAATTATGTTACTATAAAGTACAAAAATTGGTATACTATTTTTTTATGGTTTCAATCATCTCCATCTTGTTAACTGCTTCAAATATGTCCTGGGATAACACCTCGGGAACTTCGAATGCAGCGAAATGTCCGCCGACATCAAAGTTCTTGGAATGAACCATGTTCACATATTTATCCTTCA